TCCAATGTGTGTGTGTGTGTTTGTGTGTGTGTGTGTGTGTGTATATATATATATTTTTTGTTTGTTTGTTTTTTTTTGTTTTTGTTTTTGTTTTTATATATATATATACACACACACACACACACATATATATTCCCATTAGTGAATGTACTTCACACTAAAATGTCACAGTGACCAGCAGTCTATGGTGTTATCGCGATACGCAGTGTGATGTGCGCTCATGGAAGGGCCGGATGAGGTCACGTGACGACGTCGCACGGAATGCTGGGAAACAAACAGTGGCATGAATAACGCTTGGCGTAAACATCCCTTAACCTATGTGTGCGAGAGCTCGTAAACAACCCGTCGGACAAACGCAGCGACCGTCTTTCCGCAGCTTTCACAACCGTGGTCACCTGGCGGAGCAATGTTACATGTTGCGCTGCATGAGCGGCAGGACTTTGGACCGGAGCCTGGATGGGAGTGCTGCGGTGATCGGGAAAGTTGAGCGTGTGTGTGATTTATCCGTCAGACGCGATGACAGGAGCGGTCTGAGGGGGGTTTTATTCCTCTGATGTTGGGGAGGAGAGCATGGCGTTCATAAGCGAACGGCAGCTGACACGGTTGCATCTCAAGTCCTTGAAGTGGTGCGACTCCACAGCAGCGTTTCCGAGATAAATCACTAGGTTATAAATCACTGGACTGCTAGTCTTCGCTATCCAGGGAAATTGTTGCTGATCGCTTGGCCAGAGGAGCCCAACGTGTAAATTCAAGGGTCAACATTTTGGACCGGACGTCCAGTCGATCAATCCAGTGCAGACGGGACGAATATGTGGAGCTCGGAATCAGTGCAGGGTGTGCTGAAAGCCCTGAAGCACGCCGCGGGGAAAGGACACCTCCAGCTGAGCCGCTGGCTGCAGCGGACCCCGGACTCACTGGACTGCGACAAGATCGACATCTTGATCTGTAACGTCTTTGACGAGAGAGGGAACGGCGGGAAACCGGAGGCGGACCCCGCGGGTCCGACCGAGACCGGCGTGTCCTTCACTCCCGAATTCAGGCATCCGTGCTGCATCACCACCTGTTGCTTTAAAAGCGCCCTGCTGGCGTGTATCCTGACCGCCGTGTGCTTCTCCTCGGTGGCTCTCGTGCGCCAGTACCTGAAGGACGTGTTGCTGTGGGTGGAGAGTTTGGACAGTTTTGTGGGAGCCATGCTGTTCATAGTGGGCTTGATCACGGTGTCGTTCCCCTGCGGCTGGGGCTATATCGTGCTGAACGTGGCCGCGGGGTATTTATATGGGTTTGTGTTGGGCATGGGACTGGTGATGGTTGGGGTCTTGATCGGGACTTTCATCGCTCATGTGGTGTGTAAGCGACTGCTGACGAACTGGGTTCTGGGTAAGATCGGCAGCAGTGAACAGCTGAGTGCTGTTATTCGGGTGGTGGAGGGTGGAAGTGGACTCAAAATCGTGGCCTTAGCGAGACTCACGCCGATTCCTTTCGGCCTCCAGAACGCGGTCTTCTCGGTAAGTCTGTTTTGGCCATTTCTGCTATTAATGTAATTGTTATTGTGCTCATTTTTAACAAGGAATTAACACGTTAAATGTTGCACCAGTGTTATTTTAGTTTGACTGATATTGTTATAGTTTAGTTTTTTTTTCCCGTTTTCACTTTGAGAGATTTTGTAATTTTGTTGTGTATTCTTTGCTGTTTTTTCATTATTGGTTTATTTTAGTTATTTTAGTACAAGCCTAACAAAACTAATATGAGAAATGTTGTTTTGGCAATTAGCTGAAATGAATTATTAAGGTGTTTTGTATATTTTAAGTTAACGTTTAGCCTATTTTGTTTCCAGTAACTTTTTTTTTTTATGGTTTTAGTTGTATCCTACTAGCAATTACAAGGGAGATATTGGTTTTATACACCAGCTCGCTAAACAGATCATTAAAATGACTAATTTGCCTTTCAGACAAAAATTCACCAGTTAGGCCTAGTTCCTAATTTTCTTCTCCGCCTAGGAAAATCGTTCCAAACAAAGAAAATGGTCTAACTTTGTTGTTATCAAGAAATGTCTGAAATCAATTCCTCCTTTTTATTAAAAAGCAGATCTGGATCAACATATGAGTGGATTGTGATTAAGATTTCCCATCCCGCTCAAAGTGTTCTGTAATCATTCTGCTCGAAATCCATTCCGGGTTTACACTCACTAGTGAGAGAAACCCCGCATTGAGCGACCCTGAAGCAAAAAAATCACAAAACGCTGACATTGAGGCTTTCACAAATCCTCTTTTACCTGGAGCAAAACATATGATTCTCCCTATTTATGTTTTTTTTTATAGGGATGTAACGATTCAGTCAACTCACGATGCAATATGATTCACAATATGATTTCACAATACCATCTTTTCTCACAATGTTTTTTAACAAAATTAGATTGAAGTCAAATTATGAATGAAAAGGTGTCCTTTTGTTATTTCTTGGACAAAATGCTGCACATTTCTTTGTGAAATTGAAATATGTCAAATAAAACAATTGAAATTTTAAAACAAACTCCAAATCAAATAAATAAATAAGACCAAACTCTCTTCAAAAGGCTTTGCCTGTGGTCTTTCCATTCAAAATTAGAGGCAACCACTGCATTTTAATCACAGTCCAAACAAAGATGCTGCATACATGCAAATATGAGCAGTTTTAATCTAAATTAGATTGTGAAATTTTAAACAAAAACAAAATGCTCTGACATTAGTTTTGTGAAACTGTACTACATAAAACATAAATATTACTTTAATATGCATTATACAGAGACGAGATGAAAAGAAAATACCATCTAAACTTTTCTAAAGACAGTCAGTTCCTCTCAGAGATACGTTCATATAAACTCCCACCCCCAAATGTATCGCGATTCGTTTAACATCTCAACCGATTTCAATCGTCACATTTGTATCAATGTTCAACCGGCTCGCTGTGCATCGTTACATCCCTAATTTTTAAAGTTGATTAATTATTTTAGAAAAGTAGAAAGACACCCAGCACACAAAAGTATCTGATAATAGCATTGAAGTGGCTGTTAATCTTTAAGTGACATCCAGGTTGCTTTATCCAGCTTTGCTGGAATTAAACAATTAAGACCTCCAGCTCAGAGCCAGATTTAAATTATTTAAGATTTAAGTTATTCAAACATAACTGCTCTTCACGCAGGATCAGGGGTATAAAGACAGGCCTCTTTGTACATTGAAATATTACCTTCGGACACTTTGCACAACCAACATAATACATTTTTAATCAGCTGACACACATGAGGAGAAAGAAACTGCTACCTTTAACGGTGACAGAGGACAGTAAAGAACAATGATACCTACATACTGCAGTTTTTAATAGATTTTTTTAAGCCTTTCTCAGAATTATGGTACTTCTAATCCTGTTTCTTTAACCTTTTTGATAAATACATGGTGACACGTGTAAATATACAGCAACATTTAAATTTACAAACAAAGTTACACGGTTTCTGGGCATTAAAAAATGTGATTTTAATGAAAATCAAATTTCATGTAAATTTTATGAGCTATATGTTTTATTTTGTTGGTCCAGAAGTTGCTTCTTAAAACAAAGGAAGATTACATCTGCTTATATTGAATTAGATCTGAGAGACTTTCTCAGGCATTAAAGGCAGAGTAAGTGATTTCTGGTAGCCCCATCTCTATCTTTCTGTCGCTCGGCTAGGCTAATGTCCGTCCCATGCACTGAACGCGCTCTCCTCCACATCACGAGTAGACACGCCCCTTATTGCTGATTGGCTACAAGTTTGTTTTGCGATTCGGCCCGAATCAGTTTTCTAAAGCGTTTTTGAAAAATCACATACCCTGCCTTTAAGGCTGGTTTGGTTCTTGATATGAGCTTGTGGACCTGTAGCCTGCCATTTTGGAACATATTTGACTATTGTTTGCACCGTTTGCATAATTTATTCACTGGATGATTCATATGTTAATGTATTTCTCCTTTGAAGTTTTATGATGAAGACTTATGATTATGAGCAGATGTTTTTAATGCAAGTTGAGTGTTTTGCTCAGTGGTGTAATGTAACGAAGTAATAATACTTCGTTACAGTACTTAAGTATTTTTTGGGAGTATCTGTACTTTACTTGAGTTTTTAAATTTCAGGCAACTTTTACTTTTACTCCACTACATTTCCTAATTAAAATGTATACTTTTACTCCGATACATTTCCCCGAAGCATATTCGTTACTTACTACAAAATAGTCAGAAGAACAGGGACTGCAGGAAAGCAGGTTTGACGAATCAGTGGTCTGGCGTCTGCAAGTTAGACTCATGCTCACGTGCAAACAAGTGCGCGCACCACCACAGATGATTCATTTTCCTCTCAAGTCGAGGCTCTATTAAAACTCAAAATTCAAGGCATTCTAAATTGTAGATGGCAAAATGCTTCTGAATGCTTTTTATACTTATATAATTTAATATAGTAGTAAACTTACATCTAAATGCTATTTCAGATGCAGATTCCAGAAATGTTTTCTTATGTTGTAATGAAAGACACTAAGTACAGGATGAAGTGCTTCTTATTACCCAAAAATACAAAATGGAAGAAAGAGTTAAAACTGAACACAATCTTGCTACTCAAGCTGTGTATATGAACATTTTTTTATATATATATATTTATTTGCTTCTTTTCCATTTTGCATTTACTTGTATTTGTACTTTCAATACTTAATATGTATTTATTTGCTTCTTTTCCATTTTGCATTTACTTGTACTTTTACTTTCAATACTTAAGTACGTTTAAGATTTAAAAAATACTTTTCGTACTTAAGTACGATAAATATCACATACTTTAAGACTTTTACTCAAGTAATATTCTAAACGGTGACTTCAACTTCTACCAAAGTCATTTTCTGGTGAGATATCTGTACTTTTACTTGAGTATGGCTTTCAGGTACTTTATACACCACTGGGTTTGCTTCACTTCCACTTGACAGATCATGTTTGGCTGACAGTGACTGATCATATCTGGGTTTCAGGAGTGCTGGAAATGAACATTGAACACCTGCTTACAGCAGGAATTTGTGTCATTTTCTAGGTTAACAAACAGCTTTAATGTTAAACAGAGCTGTTTTTTTTTTATTTTTTCATGTACATGTAGGGCTGCAACCGTTAATTGAAATTAATCAAAATTACAGCTGGTGTAGTTAATTGTAAAAATTGTCAATTGCAATATTCAGCTTATGTCTTTTTATTTTTTACATTTTTTTAAATTATTTTTTTTATTATTATTTTTTTTTTTGCAGCAGTGAATCAGAGCATTTAATGTTTGTATTTTAGACTTATTAATAGAGGCAACTGTTAAATATTGGATGCTGAAGAAGACACATCTCCTGGCACACAAAATGCTTTAAAGCCAAAGTGGGAGTTATTTAATACATTTGCATTCGCAATTTGTATTTTGTACAACACCCAATGTACACTCTAAGAAAGTGATGTGGCAACTAGAATACTCCCATTAAAATCAACAAGCTGTAAACATTCTGTAATAAAATATTGATTCTGTTGTGTAGCTACAGAGTCCAAAGCTCTGTTTGCGAGCAGTCTGGTCTGTTGTGTGAAATTGTGAAAAACTAACAACGGACAGGATGGGAGAGTTCTAGTATTGGCACGTTGCTCGCTTTGTGTATAATTAATTACACGTTTGAATAACAGTTTTGTTTTCATGCAGTTAAGAGGACCAGTAAAAATCTGCCATTTATGTGCAGTCTTGATTTACAGATATATAAAATCACAATAAAATCAGAAACACTGAATTCTCAGCTTGTTTTAAGTCATTGTTATTGTTAACTAAAACCATAAAGACATTTTCGTTACTTGAAATAAAATAAATATTATTTCGACTTGTTTCCAAAACAACATTTCTCATTTTAAATTTGAAGATATAAAAAAAAAAAAAACATCTCAATGATGCTAAAATACTGTTTAGATGCCTACATAAAGAATATGACTTGCAGTTGCCCTACACAAAATGGAAATAAAAAAAGACTTATGATTTGTCATAATCGTGCAGCCCTATTTAGCCATCACTTTTGAGTCAAAAGTAACCTACATTTCACTAGTACAGTGTCATTGCCCTTGAAGCAACCATAAGTCTCTGTTCTTTCTGAAGGTTGCTCTAGTGATCGAACACTAGGGTCATCTCAGTAACTCTTCAGCTTTGAGTTTGCTTCACGTGGGATTGAACCTGATACCGTGAGTCAGTACTCTTGCTCCAGTAGCCTGCTGCCCTCTACTTACAGTCCTAAAAAACAATGAGGTTGTTATTCAGTTTGTATCAGTCTACAGTTGGAGAGAGAGTAAACATCAGGCTCTCTGTAAGTGCCACTGACTCTAATTGTGTTCAGCCTAATAGGTTTTATTTCACTTTTTTTTATGTAACAGGGATCACAGCTCAAGGGTATGATGTATGTCGGCACTAAACAGGTCACACTGGAATTATGTTTCACATACCCTCAGTAAGCACGTCCTATAGAAGGGGCTGTATTTCAATGTGCCCTGCGTTTTCTGCTGAAGCAAAATGTAATGTGTTATGTAGGTAACCCAACACAATGCATGCGTCTGCATAGTGCATACTTAAAATATTGCTTCACAGCCATTTACAAAGAAGTCGCTTCTTAAAACAAGAATGCATCATTTTTTCTTTTTCATGAATATTAATAGGTTGACGCAACCCTAATACAACAATGCAATGCCTGCATCTTTGCCAACATATTAATGATCAAAAATAGAAGGATTTTATGTTTCATAATTTACCACTTGAAGACAGATGTTTGCACCATATTTTACAACTCGCACCCACAGGTTATAAAATTGAATTATACAAAGCTTTAATACATTTATGTAGGGTGTGTTTGCTCAGACTTGGAACAGGGCAGAAGCACTGCTTAAAGGTAAATTTTTTTCAAAGCATTTGCAATGTAGTACAACCAGTAAAACATCCCACAGGTGTTGAAGCAAAAAATCTGTGCATTGCATTGTATTTACATATAGGAAGGGATGTAAAATGTGTGAAATTAATTGTGTTTAAAAAAAGTTAACAATTGCTAGCATGTCAACATATGATGACAGAGAAAAGAAAAGTGATTAAAAATGATCGAAATCAAAACGTTTTAATTTTTATTGCATTAGAGTAGGGCTGCACGATTAAACGAATGCGATTGTCATGCGCATTTTGATAGTAATGCCGGTTCTGTAATCAGCAGGAAATCATCATCATGTGCTTTAAGATGGAGCAGATTTGGATGGAGATTTACTGCTGATCACAGAACCGTGCTTCACTGAAAGATACGCATGACAATCGCAGTTTCTGTCGAATCACGATCTCGATTCCATTTCGATTTATCGTGCAGCCCTACATTAGAGGCAGCTAGTCCAGTTAGCATGTGAAGGACAGTGACGGGGCTAAACGAGGCTGATGACACATTCTTGCAGGCGGTGAAAACTCTCTGTGATTATTCTTGACCAACTCTGTGACCAAATATAGTTCTCGCTCTCTTTGACAGATCACAGACGTCTCCTTGCCAAATTATTTAGTGGCTTCCTCAGTGGGACTTCTCCCAACACAACTCCTTAACTCATATCTGGGCACCACCCTGCGCACAATGGAGGACGTGATCGCAGAACAGAGCGTCAGTGGATACTTTGTGTTCGGTCTACAGGTAAGCCTCCAAAAACAAAAAGAAAGGATTTGAAAGGAAGTCAGCAAGAACCCTGTATGTACAGTTTAGCCCACAAATTTACATACTTCTTGCAGAATCTTCAAGAAGTTATATTAATTAAGAGAAGAATTATCAAAAGAAGTTTACATTGACATTTGGATCCAAGACTTTGCATTTTAGCAGGCTCTTTTATCCAAAGCAGCTTGCAAATGAGAAGCATCACCAGGATTTTTTTTTTTTTTTTTTGGTGTGGTATAGTTTGTCACGTTTATTTATAGAGCTGAATGCAACACTCTCTTCCCGTTGATTTACTGTATTGCCTGTTTTGTTTTTTTTACACACAATTAGCGGTACACAATATAATGTTGCATTGAAGTTGTTAATTGTTTTGTAAAGTTCTTTGGTTTTCCAGTATGCTTTGCATATTGCAGTTCTCCGAATTCCCTGGAACTCTCAGTAACGTTTAGATCCAGCTTTGCCTCTTGGACAATTGAGAGACTCATAGACGACAATCACAAGGCTATAAACAGTGATTAATGCTACTATTAAAAAACAATACATATTATTATTATTAGTAGTAGTAGTAGTATTTTTTTAAAATGGTAAACATCTTCTGCAATGGATATGTAAACGTATGAGCAAATGAAATATTTATGTCTAGTCTAGATTCTTGTGGAACCTGTAGTAAACCATAATTATAGATGGTCATTGGCAGAGCTTTGACCAAAAATGTGTTCTTATTTTGCATTCGCTCTTGTGTGTAGTAAAGTTAGACGCCAGTAATGAATTCTTGACTGAAACAGGATATTTCGATATATCAGCCAAAGAATTATTGCTTAAATTTACAACCGCATTAAATAAGTCGCATCATCTGGATCTTTGTATCAGCCGTCGTCCAGCTCAGTCTGCAGATCCACCCAGTGACTCACTCTCTGTTCCTCTCATCAGATCTTCATCAGCATAGGCCTGATGTTTTACGTTGTACATCGAGCACAAGTGGAACTGAACGCTGCCATTGCAGCCTGCCAGTTGGAGCTGAAGACCTCGTACATGAATGGTGGAACGACCAACCACTGCGGCTCGAGCTACTGCAGCAAACGGGCTGCGGCGGGAGGGGGGATCAACGTGGTCTGATCAGCGTCTTTGTTGTTGATGAACATATTTCAACCATACATCCAGTTGGGCTGTCCTGACTGGACGGATGGAGATCTGTCTCGGCTGAGTCAGGCAGTCTTGGGAGCTGCTACAGTCCCAGCCAGCTGTTCTAGTTATGATGGAGGTCTGATGTGGAGCGGCACTAGACTGTCAAAGAGCCCGTCATCAGACCTTGATGGAAATATTGCCCAAAGATTGGGACACTGGGCCAGTATTATATGAGAAGTTTGAGATTGACTTGAGATTTTAGTTTTTGTGGTACATTTTCGTTAAAAAATTTTTATGATACTAATATAAAATTATATAACTTTTATAGGAGGTCTAAAGCATGAAATAGGTAAATTAATTAAAGTGAATGTTATAGAATTGTAGTTATTAAAGAGGGCCCAACTAATATATCAGGTTAATATGCTTAAGATGTTTGCTTTTTTGTTTATATATATATATATATATATATAAGAATTGTTCCATTTTTTTTTTTTGTTTACCTAAAAGTATTGCTTGATGGATTTTTGATGTCTAGAGTAAGAAAAAAAAAATATCAGTTAGTATCACCTGGATAAAATTGTGGCTTTTGCCAAACTGGGAACACTTTTGCTACTCTGCAGTTTTGTAAGGAACAGATGGGAGGGAAGAACATTTTCTTAGCTGGTTATTTAAGGATGTCCTGCCAAGAACCTTTAGTACAGCGTGATTAGCTCAGCGGTATGATCGTACGTGTTCGATTTCTCATTCTCATATTGAGAGGACTGAAATTCTTTGCCTTCTTTCTTGTATTATTTAACCAAATGCTTTATTATAGAGCTGTTAGCATTTTTTACATCACTTTTGTTAATTTATTCATTGTTAAAATAATTAAGAACGTTTGCACATATGGAATTTAACAAACTGAATATGTAAGATAAAGACGAAACGCTGAAAAGTGGGGGAAAGTAATTATTATGAATATATGCTATATATTTAATATATAATATGTTTGTATAATTATATAAATATATTCATATAAATATTTTCCCAAATTAGGGGAAATATATATATATATATATATATATATATATAAAAGGGAAGCATTATCATATGTTAGTACATTATTGTTATTCTTATGTAATGAATGCTGAAGTTCCACATTATTCACATCAGTCTAATGGGTTGTTGGCACTGTGCTAAAATGGCTCACAATTGCCTACAATGCATCTTTTGGCAGTTTTTCTCAAAAATGCACACCAGTGAAAATTCAGCTCAAAGCCTCGACAGCTCAGTTACTCATGGTGAGCGCAAAGAGAACAGCTGACAAAACTGCAAACTACAACTAAAATGTTATTACACGACTCCGGTCATGGTAATGTCTGTCGTTCCCTCCTTAGGGGGTTCACCTAATTAGAAACAAAAGACTCCCGAGCATTGACTGACGTATTTGGGTCCCAGCTATATAATTTAGCACAGCCTTCTGTTAATGAGCTCAGAGCCGCAGTGAACTCACAGCTTCCACACACCGGGAACCTGAAATCCTTCCATGCAGGGAATTTCACACAATCCTGGTGCTTTGTTTGTTTTGTCTTCTCATTACCTTCACCTGTACTCAACGACACTGTTGTGCGGTTTGACATGAAATTATACTGTAAATCCAGCTGTTCATGCTGTAAATCAGTGTGGAGATGGAAAAGACTTTGATTTAGTTTGGTTGTGTCATTGCAAGCTTTTTTTTTTTTTATAAGAAACACATGCTCTCGATGAATTTCTCATTAGCTGAAATGTACACTCGGTCGGTAGTGACTTCATTCTCAGTGTCATTTGAGACTCACTGTTTGGTTTACAGCATCAATATTAGAGCGTCACCATAATCTGACAATCAGTTGAACACTGGTGCGCTGATCATTCCGAGAAACCATCTCATCGTACTCTGTATTTATGTCTCCAGTTATAGTTTTGCTGCTATTTAGACTGTAGGGTCTGACTGAAATGCTGACAAGGGCTCGAATTAATATTGCAATTTTACTACAAAGTGAAATACACCATCTCGTTTTTTTTTTCTTACATGGAGAGTGTGCAAATAGATTTTCTAACAAGTTGTTACATTTATTTTGAAAAGTGCAGGTGTAACTGTGCACAAATGGACACATTCCTTAACTTAAAAATGGGATGAATGGTTTTTTTTTTTTTTTTCTCAAGGAAATGGAAAAGCCCCTCTGTTTTCTGAATTTAGCAATAAATAAAAACTGAACATGCTGACTCACCATCTGAGTTACATTGTAGAGATCCAACAATCCTGGTCTTGTGTTACGATGTCAACCTGCCTTGTACCTCTTGCTGCCTAAGACATTGAAACGGGACACTTGCCTGCAGTGTGCTCAGACTCTTAATTCGAGCAGGCATGGGATTGTGATAACTGAAAAACTAAAGATTATTGGGATGTCAAATGCAAAAAGAATCGAAATCTAACAAACTACAAAAATAAATGATAATTTGAGGATATGTATCAGTGCTTTGTCTTATTTTTCCCGTTCGAATGACAGTGGGATATGCAACAGTGCGTATAATAGCAAAGGGGTCTTGCGAGGTTCTTGGCAAACCGTAATCTGAGATTACAGCACATTTAAAAAAAAAAAAAAAAAAAAAC